TTCGCGATCTTTCACCGGACAGGCGCAGAGGGACGCGTTATGAACTTTCGCTTCGCGCTGCACAGATCGCTCCCCTCCTTCGTGAGAGATGATGCACGCGCGGCTTTGCTGAAAATCCCGGTGGTGCGAAACTTTCCCCGATACCGCGGTGTGTAAACACCGTGAACGGGGCGACACGGAATTTGATCGATAATGGATTTCGTGCTGAAAAGTTTCACCGGCAGCGCCGCCTGTTGCGACTCACAGCATCGATTCCCACGACACCGATCGCGATATTCTCGATCGTGTGCGCATGCACAGCCGGCCACTGACTCGTAGTCCACTGAAAGCCATTAACGGCACGCTGTCAGATTCCCGTCGCTTTACCCGCGTGTTACATGTGTTACATTTCGCAACGTATTGTTTCCTCCGTTCCTTCGAATCTCACAGAGAGCCCGCGTAGCGCACTTTCGCGCGCGCGCGATCCAACGATGTGTGGACGAAAGGAAAGGTCGACAAATCGCACCACGGGCGACCACGAGACGCCGGATATTCCCGTCCGTCGGCGATCAGGAGGCGATCACAGCGGGTCGCCACGCAGCTCAAAGGCGAAACAACAGGCTCGTTTTCACAGCTCGAAACTCGCGCGGATACACGTGGCTCGTGTGAGCGCGGATGCGAAATATGGGTCGCGATCGGCACGACGACGAGCCGTTTCTGCAATATGCACTTTCTAACGCCGTGACTACTTTCTATGCGGGAAGAAATGAGTGGAGTTCAGCTTGGTATTAGTGCTGTGCTATCTCTCTCTCTCTCTCTCTCTCTTTCTTGAGAGAGAGATTTACACAAAGGGTTTTACGAGAGACCGAAAGCAACGTTGCGCTCGGTCGGACTATGACGAATGTTCGCGCGATTTCGCAACACGACGATACGCGGAACACGCGACATTGACTGAGGGGATCGTGCGAACTGGATTACTTGAGAACCTGAGATCCCAAATTACTCCCCGACTAATTGCAGCCGGTTGACGGAGCACCGCGCTACAGATGCGCGTGAGCGTCGGGAGCGAAACAAAAGCTTGGGGAGAATCTGCCTCATGCACGACACCAGGCAGCTTCACGTGTGCGTGAAGATTCTGATTAATTAAGCAGTTATTCAATCGGTTAATTAATTATTGTTGTTCGCTGTTTCTCACACTTCGCGCTCTTATATAAAGCGTGTTATTAATGAAAGTTAATAGTATGATATTATAATGTTATAATATTTTATATCGCAAATTCTTCATATTATGTTATATACGAAAATGAAGCATTGTGGTTTTTTTTTTTTATTAATAATATCATCATATAAAAAAAATTATATATAAATATTATATTATCGCATAAATATATCGATGAAGAATGCCTCCTTCCCGAGACGATATAGAGTCGTCACTTTTTTTCGTTAAACGTTTACTTTATCGCGAGATTCATTTCCCGCGAGTGTTCTCGTCTCTCCTCTCCTCGAATCCGCGCGACGAAAGTCACGTACGAACCGCGGCGTTCGCCGCGAAGTAGGTAAGGCGTACAGCCGGGAGGCAAATGTCGCGTAGCCGTTGTACGATCGGCTGGCTTCTTTCCGTGGCGCATCTCCCCGCGACCATTAGCGTACGACGTTAACCTTTCGCGGAAAGATCGCCGCCAACAGGCACGCGCGCGCACCTTCCCTCGCGAGCGTCGCACCTTTTGTCTTCTCGCGGCGAGACCCTGCGCGCGACCCCGACGTCAGGTGAGAACACAGAGCGAGCGCCGCGGAGATGCGCCGCGGCCTCCCGGTGAATTATTAAGGAAGCTTTCCCCACGATAAAATAAACACGGCGAAATCCCCAGCGTCAGCCGTGAAAACGCGAATCCCCGGCACTTCCTCGCGGTCTCTCGTTGTCATTACCGAGGAAAGTGCGCTCGTTGACCGAGTTCTGACTAGATGAATCTCGCGCGAGATTGTAACGATACGGAATGAATAATGCAGCGAATTTGCGCGGAAACGTGCGAGCTCGCTTTCGTCCAACTCGATCATTTAGCCGCCGTAACAGGGATATTAAACCGGTAAAAATACGGAGGAGGAGTGGAAGGACGAGTGGCGTTCAAAGCGCGGAATAAATATCGCGTTACGCTATAAATCATCCGGCGATGTAACGCGTCCATGTGCGCCGCGTGTAATAGCCGCGTCAGTAATTAGGCCCGCGTGTTCGTTAAGCGTGCAATCCGATTAATTCGTCCGGTTGCCAAGACGCGACAAAAATCAACCGGTCTCTCCCGTAACAGCTGGCGCATGTCGGGATGCGCTCACGATGCCGTAATCTCCTTCCCTCAACTCCCCCCTTCCGCCTAACGCGAGCGTTCTGCGCGTCACGTTTCTGCCCGAGCGGATTTCTCGCACCTGTCTGCGAGAGCGCGGGCGGGTGTGTGTTGGCCGGCTTTGAAAATAGATGAAACGCGGAAGTCGCGCGTCAGGTGCACGCTGATCCTTCACGGGACGTCGCGTGAGATCGCAAGCGCGAATCTCCGTCCCTTTATGTTCCTCGGCGAATTCAGCACGAAGTTTCTTGTATGCTTCCAGGCTTGTGCGAGGTGGAATCGGGACACTCGAACATCATCCTCGATATCGAGGAGAGCAGGGGAAATGGTAAGTGGATACGCGGACTGTCGAAGACAGTCAATTACATCCGATAACATCATTGAAACTACCGAATTGAACGTTACATTGTCACGTTAATTACTTCAACAATACGTAACACAGTAGTTTTAGCGATATTTGCCACCGAGCCCCAAAAATTTACTCCACTCGCGCTGCTGTTGGAAATTTTACTGATTCAGCAGATTTTTCCCCCGTATAATAAAGCACACCGGCTCTCATATTTCACAACGAAGCTGTTGGAAATTCTATCGATTCAACGGTCACACAGACCAACGTCGAATCACTTTCTCGACAATATACTCGCTGTCGCTCCCAACCCATTGTCACTGTGATACTACCATTTATATCGTTACCGTGATTATGTTTCTTACGGCAGCCCCGGCGTGTGCTCCGGAACATAACGGAAAAACGTCCATTTGTCGTGGGAGAATTTTGCTTGCCTGTTAACTCTTAAATTTGTATTGCAGCGCCTATTATTAAGCCCGTTATTTCTTTCCACGTCGCGAGTCACGCTGCTACGGGACGTCCGATCCGCCGACATTGTATTATCGGCACACCGTATCGGTCGCGTAAGCTGATAAGACACGTCGTTACGTATTCGCGCATAGATTCGATTTCGAGAACGTGTATGTGTGTCACAACTCCGGCGTTCCATTATGCGGAAGTTACGGCGCGTTTAGCGGTCGTGGGAGCTGACCGATGACTATCGAAATCGAGCGAGTCACGCTGCTCGCGCGCCGACTCCCGATATCCCTGCGGAATCGTCTTGTACCCCGCGGATCTGAACAACCTATCTCGCTCAGCCTCTCTTCGTCTGGCGCATGCATAATGCACGACGTCTTTGTTGGCGGGCGATTCTCAAGGCGGCACTATTTTCACGAGGAAATAGCTTCGTTATTGTATCCTGCGAGAGTGAATGGTAATAAATTCCCGTATAACACATTGAAATACGAATAACGCTTTGAAGTATATAAAGACTGTTATTCCGAGTGGACTAGAGAGGAAATAAAAGTGGATTAAATTGAATCTTCGAGTATCCCTCGGGTTTGTTACTCGATAAAATGGAATCAGCGTATTATCGTTGAAAAACAGTAGAATCAGTCATAAATGCAGTATTGCAATCGGTAAAAACTCGCTATAAGAGCTTAGTTATATAATTATATATATACAATAATAATAGCCAATGGAACACCGCAGATTTTGCGGTAAAATCCTACTTTTATCAGCCAAAATCAATAAAGCGTAAGACTAAGTGGAAGTATTTCTTCACTCGAAGTCCGTATTCATTGATACCGGTGAAATATATCTCGCTGATGTGATTAGAAACATATCACTGATTCGCTTTAAGAGAATAATGCCAGCAGAGAGCTATCGAACATAAAGCGGATAGCTCCATATCTAATAAACATCGAATATCTCTGACGAGATTTTTCGAACGGAATACGCGCTAAATTTTTATATTTCATACGATACAAATACCCGATACATTCTATTTTCCCATCCAATTATGTCCTGACATTTCTACGCGACGATATTATCGCGTGTCCGCGCGTGGCAATTGTACATACAAACGCGTGTTATGACAAGAGTACATGAGACGTCGATAAATATGCATTACGTGAAATTCCGAGGAGAATGCCGTTTGTTTCGTGTTCGTACGTCGATTTTTCGCAAAGTTACGAACCTTTTTTTTCGAAAGCGGAGATCCTTTGCTGCCGGCCGGCGGCGCTCGCGTAACACATTGTGTTACGTTCACGCGGCCGCGGACTTGACACCTCTTCCGTCGAGGCGGCGCGCTCGGTTAAAAAAGCGAGCAGCGTGCAACATTGTTGACTGACCGCGGTCTCCATCAAACGATTCGCCGCCCGTTGATAATTCCTCGTAGAAAAGTCGTAGCGACGTGAAACAAATTGCGTTCAAAAGCTGAGACTGTACCGCTTCCGACGAAAGGACGGTCCTTTTTTTCTGTTGTCAATTAATTTATCGGTGTATTGAAAAGCCGACCGATTATTCCCTTTCAAACTGAAAACTATAATGACTCACAATTGGATGGCATATTCTCGATATTTCTATCAATGTTTGACAATCGTAGGTCGGCCAAGCGTTGGCTCTGATCGTAACGTCTGACCGTCTTACACGAATTGTTACGTCAAACACACGAAGAGAAATAATTGCAGGGTAGAGATCCCACTGAGGAAAATCGGTAGAGGGTGATATCGGAAAAATAGAACAACGAACACGTTGCGATTAAACTGTACCGACTTTCCCTAATGAGATATTGCCCGAGATCGGCGTCAATCCACCAGCTATTATACAAGAAGACATAGATATTCGCCCGAGGAAATTGTGTTATATAAATAATAAAGCAGTTCTATTGAAATCATTATTCGCATATTTTAGTCTTGTAACTCTCTTTCTGGCATATTAATAACTTCCCACATATATTTCGTAGAGATAACGACATGCAGTTTTAACGAACGCGTTAACTCGTTCGCTTGTACCTAATCTATTTTTAGCAGGGGGATTTAACGACCCGTGACTTTTCATTATAAAGCACGCGATATCGTACACACTCAGACGATACGTCATCGTTCGTTCGACTTAAAATAAACGACCGATGATGTATCGTCGATTCGGAGAATTTATTTGAAATACCTTCAGTTTATTGAAAATTCCACGAAAGTGGATCTTTCATCGGTACCGCGAGCCACCCTTGCGCCATCTCTGATATGAAACCAATCGACGTTCTTTCTCTCCTATTCCAGCGATCGATCAGAAGACCGTGCCGGAAGAGCTTCCGGTGTCCGGCGATCCATATAACGAGACGATGCTGGAGCTGATCTTCATGGGAAAACCGTCCATCTTTAAACTGAACGGCAAGAAACTGCAGCTTCTGCAGCCGCTGGACAGGGACGATAAAAACCTCTCGCATATAATTTTTCAGGTAAGAGACTTCAATCTCGCAGGATTGCTGAGCACGTCCGCCGGTGATTTAAAATTAATATCGGCTTAAAAAGGATTTAATAAGATATTATACGAGAGCTAATATTGTACAATCGTCCAATTTTTCCAACGGAGTCTGAACATTGAAAATCACAGTTCGCGCTATTTCAAACCGGTGGCACTGCCGGTGGCGCAACTTGCGCGCCAATACTGTTCGCCGTATGTTTCCCACCCGCGAAATAGCTTTCCGCTTTTGTACATTAAGAGAGAAAAATTACCAGCAGATCCTTGAAAAAAAGAAAAGACAAAAATTGTACGCATTATTTCAACGGTGCCAGCCGGCGTATCTCGCGCGCCAACTGCGGCGATTACCGCGGCGCTAATTAAGAAATTATTGCTCGTAAGTAATAGATAAAAAAATAGAAAGCATCACTCTCATGAATACGGGAGCCGTCGTCCAGATGGCTGGAACCAGGTGGTTTATAACACGCAGATGACTACGTGATTATCAATCGGCGCACACGTGTGCTTTACTACGCATCCGCCTGAGAAAGTTTACGACGCGGCGTCGGTCGCGACTTCACTCGCGCTCCACTCGCGAATCATAAAATATCGCCTGGCTGCTTTCTACGATAAAGTCGCCGAGGGACCACCGCGACACAGATTGCCACGTTGAAAATCACTGCCGGCGACGGGAATCTGGGTAATCAATAATGAGCACGTGCCGCGAATGCGCGCGCAACGAGAGAGAGAGAGAGAGAGAGAAACTCCCTGGAAAATCTCCGCGCGTCTCGACTCGCGCGCGATTCCCGATTGTTACACCACGCCGACAACTTACGCGGCTGGCTTTTGTCTTCTCCCTCTTTCGCTTCGACTTTTCATTGCCCGCCTTAGAGAATCGACACGTCCACGATCGCGAGAGAATTTAGCAAAGGAAATATCCCGAGGCAAAATTCAGGATGATCTGCGCCTTATTAGGTAGCTTATAGGCCAGTAAAAACATTTAACGATATTGATGCTCTTATTAACTCTGGCAGTAACATGTTAGGCTTACGAGGCCTACACGCGTTTTCTTTCGCTTATCCTTCTTCCCCCTTTCATGTTTTGCGCAGGACGCTATTACTCCACTCCTATTTTTCTGTTACTCGGAAAAAGTTCGGTCTATGACCATTGTTATTATCAGCCTGATCCAATGAGATAAATGGTTTCCTGGCAGCAATCACCAGTCTACCAAGACAATAAGTAAAAATGACTAATAAACTTAATAATTTGCAGAAGATCGAAAAGATGCAAGAAACCATGATTTTTGCCATTTTTTTCGTGATGTAGGTTTATGATGTAACTTCAGTATCAAGATTGCAGATGTTATCTTCAGAGTGAATTTTTCTCCTAAATCTTCAATTCTCACAGATTAATTGTAATGCTACCTCGAATAGCCTGTTTTGACGCTAAAACCAGCGAAAATGGCAATTTAAGACACCGTCAAGGTTAAAGCTGGAATAAATTATGTTATCAGAATTGAAATTGAACCTACTTTGCTACGCTTATATCTTAGTTCCTACTGTATTATAGAAATAAAGGTTGAACGTAGGGCCAAAATTTCGATTCGGGATTTCTGTTGTCCGTGCTTTTAGACGAAGATGTTGGGGAATGCACAACGAGGAGGCGTACCGTCGTCGTCCCTTTCGACTATAAACACCGGAAGATAAACGAGTAATAGTTTTCAATGTCACAGTGCCAATATTTCTTCAATTATAAGCCCCACAGTCGCGAACAAAACGTAGAGATGCTCGGTGTCTTGAGAGGTTCTCTTTTTTCTAACGGCCATTAAACGTGATCATTAAATGTCTGAATCCGCCTTACAAGTATCGGTCGCGCTTTTAAAACGATACCGTTATTTTATCGCCGCAAGAAACTTCCTCCGCTTCTCGGAAGGGAATCCTGCCGCTTGCCTACAGGATACTTTATTATTATCTTCGCCCGTAACGAGCTGCAAACTCACTGCGAAAGCGGAAGCCAGCAACCTGTCGGCGAAACACTCGCGGGAAGTTGTAAAATCCAAAACGATCTCTTATTGCGTATCGATTGCTAATTGTTACGATATAAGCGTTCATATGATCTGATCCTTTCCTACTTAGACAAAATTTATATCGGTCAAGAGAAAGAGCTCATCTTTAGGAGAATTTCAATAAATTGTCGCGAGTATTCTTTCTCAGGCAATTAATGACGTGTCGTGTTCGAGGATACGTTTCTACTCGCTTCAACAGCAGAAACAGAACTTAGCTTTAATTACGCGTCAGATCAGCATTTTAGAATGTACTTTTGAATCTCTTGTAATTAGCACATTCCTTATCACGCGAGATTCGCATGTTCACGCTCATTGTAGCTCACGATTTGAAGACACCGTTCTCTTCGACCACGTTCGACATCTGCGAACGCACACACACACACACACACATATTCACACGTGCGCTCTGCATGCCTTATGACACTATCACGCGAGGAATGTGAAAGGTCTAGAGCACCGCATCGAACGCTTCAACAGCTCGTACGGCTAAAACGAGCGGATAAGATCTAATGAGATCGAGAAATGCAAATTGAAATAGAGGTGAAATTCACCCGTATTGGGAACGCAGAACGCGCATTTCGATCGGTTCAGGAAAATCTACGCGGCGAACAGCTTGGCTCGGAATAAATTAATCCGACGAGCGGAGCTAATTAATTATTGCCCCGCTCGGTCGAAAAGCGCATAACGCCGGCGAGTCGCGAGTCCGCGCAACGGAATTGGTTGTGAACCAGTTACGCTGATTTTACGCATCTTTGTGACGCAACGATGCACGGAGAAAAATAATTTCGCTGTTGTAGCGAAATCATCGTTGCTACTGTATATTTATTACAGCAGTGATCGCGGTAAAATTTCGTTGGCACAATCAAATTAGCGAAATTGTTCGTAATTACAGCGGTTTCGTTGCCAGAATCGACAAGTTCCAAGTAAATTTGTCCTTAGAACGCACTTATCTACTGTTAGAACAAAATCGTGTTTTTCCACATTTACGAATTCGTTCTTGCGGCAAAATAATTTGTGGACTCAGCGAGATAATTCAACAAATGACAATTAGTACTATCAACAGGTCGTCTGGCTGCCGACAGAGTAACCGACAGATTTCGCTGCGACGGCGTGAAATTTGCTGTGCCGGCAAATTATTTTCCTCCCTGTGATTTCCACACTCCCAGCTCACCGGCCGGACGTGCGAATGTGCTGAGCGCAGGTGTACGGGTTTTCACTCGTGCGGCATCAAATTCTCTTTTAGCGAGATTCAAGTGTCGTTTGGCGTTGCATGCTCCGCGAGCGAGCGGCCGAACTTTTCACGTCTTTTCACTTCTCGTCCCACCCTTTCTCCTTTTTCAGCTCAGCTGCACGGTCAAGTCCACCAACAAGAAGCGCACGATTCCGGTGATCGTGAGGGTGTCCGACATCAACGACAATGCGCCGAAATTCATCAACACGCCGTACGAGACCACCGTGCCGGAGGTAAGCGTACCACACGATAGCTTCCTTGTGAAAGAAACCGGTCATTTTCACTTGGTATGATCGGATATCGTGACTAATCGGTCAACGCGAGATACCGCTCGATCATCCTGCGCGCAGACGTGCCGCTCGTTCGGAAACAACCACGGTAGTTTTCAATCGACGCTTTCCCCGCCGATATCACCCCGCCCCGTGCGTGCGCGCGCGTCCGCAATAAAACGGACGATACCGTGGCGGAAAATGCGTTCCCCACTAGGAAAACGTTCGGACGTAGAGCGTGAAAATGCGGACATAATGCGCTGATTCACGACGCACGGCGCGCAGGTGTGCGAATCTATATCCTGTAATGAGTCGCGGATATGTACGGTATGCACGCGCGGCTGGAAATCCGCACTTATAATGGGTTACGTGTTATAATTACACGTCTCAATATGATGGACGGATAAGAGATTCGAGTTTAACGAAGCGAAAGCTCGATAATTGCTGTCCGCCATCGGCCCTGAGAGACTACGGGAGATAAATAAATAAAACAGGGACGTGCCGCACGCGAGAGAGAGAGAGAGAGAGAGGGAGTAACGTTTGTAATTGGAAAGTCACGAAGGAAGTAGCGTGAGAAATAGCAGAAACGTCCTAATTGGAGAGTCTCAAAAATGCAGCGTGACACGCACGCGATAAAGCCGACTCGCGGTATCAACGGCATTTTCGCATGCATCGCGCGGCGTCCGGGACTTTCTTCGCGCTTCCGGACGCTTTCCACGCGTGACGGAATTTTCACGGATATTCAAAGTGTGTCGAATGCGAATCATCGAGCGAGCGAGCACGGAGCGGGCTCTATTATTCCGTTCTGATCGCCGAGTCAGCCGCGCGTCTTCGATGAAAGTAGACTCGTCACATCGCTAAATCGACGTGAGCTGTTCCGAGACGGGAATATGCGGGAATATCGGCGGGCGATCGCATCGGCCGGTCGATCGGCGCCACGCATACCGTGGATTCTTTCGCCTTCGTATATTCGTGGCCCGTTATGTCGGAAATGACGCGTGTCTCGGTACCGGACAATTTAGCCGGGGGCGATGCGAAACCCACGCGCGCGCTCCAGCCGAACGCGAGTCGCGCGACTCTACGTTGCAAATCATTTGCGACGCGCGTTATTCATCACGCGATTTATCGCGAAATCGTCCCTCGCAGCGGAAGCCTTAACAGCGCGCTCCGGAGTTTAATCGGATTCGATATAATCCTAATGAGCTCGCGATAGTTTCCGAGTTACGTGCGCGAGCATAGTTGGCTCGGCGACGTCGCGGATATATTTTGCGCATGGAATCTGTAATCGAGCGTTATTTTTGCGGAGTCTACGACGATCCCCGTGAAATTCATTCCCGCGATCTTCCCGCGAATTCAAGGGTGTATTGCGCATTATTACTGTATTTACAATGGCGCATCTAGGGGACTGTTCGTAAATTTAATATTCATCGAGCAACACTTATTCCCTATCTAAACAGTACATATTAATTTGAATATTAATTTGAATTGAGGTTAAACGTATATATACGCAATATTACAAATACGGAAATGTTATTATTCTTTATTCTTCGTATTAATTAGTTGACCTAATTATCAGTGTTCAGTTAGACACATTTCAGCTCAAGCTTGAGGCCAATACTTTTCTAATTGCATGAATAACGAGTTAGATGACATTTCGATGTGTACGCAAGCTTTTCATTATTTTGACTTATAGGCAATGCATTCGTAATTAAACGAGGAGTTTGTATTTTTCGATACGCGCTCCAGGAAACGTAGTATCAATCTGTCGTCAGCGAAACTGTGTCGGTGAATGGAAACTGCAACGGTGATACGGTGATAAGAAATAAATTGCAATCTACAACGGCTGCAACGTGAAGTCGTTAAGTGCAATGGAAAACTAGAGATTGAAATTGTCGAGTCATTTTCAGTCTCAACTTCGTTACCGCAGTCTCTTTTCGCTCTACCATTATATTTCCGCCGTGGCTTAATAAAGTGTAAATCCCCATTTAAAACCGGCGCACATCGTGCGCCGCGAGCGTTTCAGAGCACAGCGAGGAAGGAAACGATATTCGCGGAGATAGCCTCGGTGGCTCCAGATTATCGTCTAATTAAGGGCGCCTTTGCATCCACTCTTACCGTGAAAACTCGGCGAAATAGGACCCCGCCGTCCTCGCGAGAGCGTAACCTTTGCTCCACCTGCCGTGCATAATTGCGGAATCGCGGGAGTTCCCGAGATCGGGATCGCGGAACGTCGGGCTCGCACATGATCCCCGTTTGAGCTAATTAATCCATAATGAGCTCAGGCAACCGGTTCCGGGGACACGCGGGACTCATCGCCGTGATAATCGCTCCGTCGGAGCTGTAAAACGACCGCGAACGTCCGTCGGGAACGCTTCATCTTCGTTTCGTTTACTTTCGTTTATCCAACACTCTTGAAGAAACTCCCGGTAATTAACGATACAGTGTTGCGGCGAAATGAGCGATGAGTATTTTCCGGTCGCCTCTCGAATTAGAAAGTCGAGCCTCGGTACAGTCAGCACTCGGTACACGTGGATCTGCACGATTCCGTGTAACTGAATTTTCTGTTGCCTCGGGAGCGGACGAAAGTGTTCGGTTGTAGGAACAGAAATATTTCTGTGGAAGGTTTCCATTCAGTCAGTTGCTCCCAGTGGTCTTAGGCGGGTCTTAATGCAGCCGAATGTTCGCACGAATCTTCTCAGTCGTGGTAACAGAGATATCATTTTATCTCACCGAAATTTCATCCGTTCTTTATTCAGTCGCAGCGATCGAGATGTTTTCCGTGTGATATATACACGGGAAAAACAATTCCGTTGATGTAATTGAATGTTCAGTCGCCTGGATATCGTTCCTTGTCACCGAGTTTCCATTTTCCGTCGGTAAATCTTCATCTGGCTCCTATTCAGTTGGAGCAGGAACTGAGATTCTTTCCACATAGATTTTGTCTTACGTAGAACTTGTCTTGTGGAACCGTCCCACGTAAATCGAGGGTTGGCTACAGCCTCGGTGGCTTCGCCATTTCCGCCTGAGGATCTCCGCTTTTCCCCGTGTTAGTCGTGCAAGTTAATCCGGTCTTGAGAAATCTCCCGTAAGAGGCGATGAGACACCTCGCGTACACGCCGGGGAGCCGCTGTATCCGTCCGAGAAGTCCGAGGGAGCAGCTCCAATTCCGTTAGATAAGCGCAAATGTGATGAACAAGCGCGTATCGACACGCTTGGGGCACCAACAACGTAACCGAGGAGCCAATCGCACGCCGGCTACGAGAATATACATTCCGGCCGCGCCGCACGGTAGTCCGACTTATCTCTCCGGATTAATCGGAAACGCGCGCGGCTTTCGCCGGTGCAAAAAGCCGCTGAATTATTTTCGCGTAATCCCCAACGAGGTCTCGCCCCTACCCCATAGATCCTCTCGCACGCACGCTCGCGGCGTCTTCGCGAGCAACCTGCTCGGCCTGTTCCGAGGCCGCGCACGGTCGAATTATTAATCCCGACGGCCGGGGTCGTTTGACCCTACCGGCCTTCAATTAACCAGCATCCCTTGAAATCGCGTCTACGCGCCGCATAAATTTCATCCCGCTCGATTCCGCAAGAACCGGCGGAATATATCGTCCCGCGATTTCTCATCGCAGCTGGAAGCACGGAAAGCCGTGACTTCCACCGCGTATCTCGCGATGCTTCCTCCCGGTGACGCGGATAAATTATATTGAAAATAATTTTCTCGTTATTCGCCGTGCGCAGCTCACCCCGGTCGGCTCGACGATCTTCAAGAACGTGGAAGCGGTCGACGCCGACGCCGGCGTCAACGGCATCGTCGAGTACTCGATCGCGCCCGGCGACAGCAGCAAGATCGGTGTCAACGAGGGCGTCGGACGCGACAGGATCACCACCGCCGACGGCTACGGTTACTTCAGCATCAATCTGCCGCACCAGGGCCAGGTTACGGTCAACCGCACGTTGGACTACGAGAGGACTCAGCGTTATCTCGTCACCATCTTGGCTTCGGTGAGTCTTAATCCCTTGTCTTGTCACTGTCGGACTTTTCACTGCGACGAGATAGGTAGCGATATTGATACACAGAAGAAAAAGCGCTAGATTCAAGCAAATAGTCAATAATAAATTAATATTAAAATAATAAATACTAAATAATAATTTAGCATTAAAATAATTTATTATATATATATATATATATATCCGTGCTTCAGCTCCTGATGACTTCATATAATTTGCCTTTAAAATAATTAGAAAAATTAATAATTGTAGGACGAAGAGAGAAAGATACTCGCATAGGGATAATAAGATAATTTACCGAGGACAAATAAATGCTTTGGTGTTTGTGCAAGGAATAAAGATTTGTCCTCGAGATGTTTTCTCTGATTCTGCAACATTTAATCATCACTTAGCGCAGTCGACGAGTTTGCTTGCATCGTAAACCGTTTGCCGTGTATTTCCTAATGTCCGTACCGTTGCGGCATGCATATTATCCGTCGAGCATGATAATCGGGAGTAATGAGTATCGGTCAGAGATACGTTGCGCCGCACGAGACTGAAGTGAAAACCTGCGCGACAACCGTGGAAATCTTTACACGAATAACGAGGAAATAACGGTGGTCACTTATTGGCAGGCATTTATCGCGAATTGCAGCGTCGTATTTTTAAATAGACCGCATCCGGCCCGAAGAAAACTTCGACGGTAGAATTACATAGTAATTTCGGTGCAGTTGAAATATGCAGATATATGCGGAAGAAGACAATCTTACCCGTTTCTCTACTGTGAAACCCGTTTCAGGAGCAAAACGATTCGTTTTCACTGTTATGAAAATTTCATCGATTTGACAAGGGAGCTTCTATCTCGCAATGTTCGAAGGATCCATGCAGAATTGCCCGGAGCGCTCGTACGGTTCTGTATGCCTGCATTCACTACGCTCGCAACCACGTTAGGCATCGACGTATGTCGGCATTTTTACTACGGGGATATCGATTGCAAATTAATCTATGCACGGACAGAGTTCCCTGGCATTCTTCGCGGACGCTCCTCATAACGGATACGTTTCACGCATTATCAGCGCGGTATTCGCGATTGCATAACCATTCATCCACCCGTTACGAACGAATCCCGACGTTGCCTTCATTCAGCCGTTATAACGTAACGAGTGCATAACGCAGCGACCGGCATAATAAGCATTGTGTCACGTAAGTCTCGAGTATATTCTTAGCGCAGTCGATGCGTCTCGACGGGAATGCTGCATCGATTTTCCCGTCTCGTTTATCACCGCGTCGCGTAGTGGCAGCGGGAGAATCGTTTACAAACGCGCGTGTTTCCTTAATTTAATACGCCACGGAAACGGGCGGGAGGATGTGGGCTGGTGAACGGTCAGTCCGTGTGGGCCGAAGGAAGAGGACAGCGCTGGAGGGCGATGAGTCACTACGACTAGCATCCGACCTCGGAAAAGCATATTTGCGTTAGGCGCTTCTCTCACTATGCTTTCTCGTCCCCTTGATTGCTATTAGGCTACCCCACTCGACGCAAAAAACATGCCTCGTCCTCCGTGACGCTCCTCGGCGGCTTCTTCTTTATTTCGATCTCTCCCCTCGCAATCCGAGTTCGTCTCGAGCGGATTTCACGAGGTGACTTCAGGATTAATTTTAGGATTACAAGCGTGTCCTTTGATCGGCGAACCTCCTTCTGCAATATTTCGTTACGAGTCTGTCTCTCGCTCGGTGTGCTTGGTTTTCACTGAAACATATCGATGGCTGGCTTTCGGATTATGAATCTGATCGAGTGAGATTCGCCAGTAATTAAGCATGGAGTACCGGGACTGAGGGAACTTACGGGGATTACGTTATCGGAGAGTGGGCACTCTATTGACGCTCGCGAGACCGCATTCGATATGTGCGATGCAATATTCGCTGCTTTAGCCGGGCTTCTCCCGAGAACTAGAGTCTATGAATGGGATGTATGCGACGTAACGTCCATTAGCGCGGTATTCCTGAATTCGTTCGTCCGTACGTATTATTTATAGAGGAGCATCTCTTGGCGTAATTCACAAGTGCGGCTGTAGCGCGATAATTTTCGAGGGAGGACTCGAACCGTTCGCGCGCTCTCGCGCGTAATTATATGCGAGGCGCGACGAATGTGCATGCTTCGTTACGTGCATACGATCCTCTCGAAGCATGTCCTGCGTGCTCTGTGTTGCAGATTAGAAACTGATATACGTACAAGCTCGCAGGCGCGCGCATTCACTAAACGGTATTACAACCCGACGGCAACGAACGGCTCCGGCTTTAGCCAGGCGGACGCGTGTTCCCTCTTTTCTCACATCTAATGATTTTAATGGCACTAATCGATTCTGCGCTTCTCCGCGCAAGTATGCAAACAGCGCGCGACGAGCAGGCCGTTAATTACAGTTACGCGCGTCCCGTTTAAATCATCTGCGATTAAATAATGAATTGCGCGTATCAATCGCGTATCTAGAAAGCGTGTCTCGCGTGGAAGCGTTTTACAACGCGTGCTTAAAGTGCGCGAATATCGCGGATGATCGAGGAAGATACACAGTTTACGAGACTGCGAATCGGTTTCCGCAGATTTCTTCACCGATCATTTCCCGAATCTACAGATTCTTCATCCGAGTTGATCGAGCAGATCGCAATTTGAGGAAATTATGGAAAACACGGCAGGCTTCTTGCGTCTCATACGATAACCATTTAATAGATGTGTTGGGATTCAATCTGACCCCGGCGAAAATAGCCGGAGGTAACGACTGCAGAGCGATGGTACCGATTCCGATGCAAAGTTCCCTCGCAATTTCGCGATCGCAGCCAATTCAGCGAGAGTGCACCGGCACGAAATAACGAAAGGATCGTGTGTAACGGTAACACTGCTGCGGAACAACAATCTTTCCATTTGATACGCATGGTAACGTATCGCTCGCGGTACCGTAAGGCATTAACCGTTCGGCACACTCAGCCAGATTAGAGGCCACCGATTGCAAGTCGTACTTGAAGCTATTTGCATATCGCCTCTGCCGAACCCGACATTGTTCGGCCCGCGCAGATACGGTCACTAGCGCGGATTAGGATTCGCAAATTGCCCCGTTCGCGTCCAGGACGATCGCGCGACATTCACATCGGCCGCTTTTTGCCGGCGGACAGGTTGAGGTGTACCCGCACATCACGATGCTCATCCGCGGCCTTTCACTAAACCGTGATGTTTGATAGAAGAAAACAGTATTACATGTATTTCGAGGGAATAATATTTCATTTTCAATAAAAGAGAAAAAAACGAATTTATTTCATTGTATAATAAATATCGTTCCAGAGAAAAGAAGCTCTTGAATATTTCTCGAACACAGTGTCGCTTCTTGCTAATAATTCATCGCTTATGACGACGGTTGCAATGTTTGGATACAAATTCGAAAGAAACATGTTATTCGACGTAAAGATATTTATTGCTCGAGGGACCGAACGAGATCCTGTTTGTTGTCGGATCAAACGTTCGTGCGCTCTGCTCTATTCCAAAAGGCAAATTCGCCTGGATGAAGGAAATTTCACCGAATCCGAAGGAATTTTTGCCTCCGCTGTGCGAACGCTTCGCCATCGACGCGACCTGGTAAGCAAAGGCGAAGCATGCGGTCGCGACGCATTAATAAAGATCCGGGCGCGATGGCACGTCTCACGCGAGTGAAAGTGAGATGCTCATTAGCGAATATCGCGGTACTCGCGAGCCTCCTCCCACGCGATCGCCTCGCGAGACTGTTCGATCGGCGTGACGAATCGTCATAGCGCGAGTATCGCGCAACGTTACGCGTAACGCGCTACCTACGTGATGCGCGTGTTTGCCACGATAATATAATCAGGAAGCGCTATAAAATGTCAAATCTCTCTCTACCCTGGGCAGCACGCGCAGCACACGACAACGGAACAATACTTTACAACTGTACAATAAGCACCGTCTATTTACTCCCATGACGGCACTTACCCGTCGCGGTTATTGTCACGCTCGGTGGTCGCGATTGTGCGCGTTCGCATTAAGAATGATCCCCTACGCGAGCATTTACGCACGTAAGAGCGGCCCTGTGAAATACAGCCGGCTGAGCGCGGATAAGCGCGGATAAGTTACACCTCCGATACGCGCCGGCAAAAGCTCGCCGGCGATCAGATAGGAACACGAGAGTGCGTCGACCGCAGCGCGTGGCATTTTCCCCGTGAGCTTTCATTCGCGTCCGGCCGCGTATATTGACACGTCGTATCAGTCCGCACGATTGAGAGAGCTACGATCGGTGCCCGATACGGATGTTTCCACTCGAGAACTCGGCAATACCAATCACCGAGCCGATCGATCGCGATGTATTTCAAAATTGAAATACGAGAAATGCCCGAGGGAGAGATTTCCGCGGAAATTTATAAACGTTCGAACCGAGCGGACGGCAATAATTTCGCAGCGCGGTCGACGAGCAGCGAAACCGCGGGGAATAAGCGGTCACTCGGTAATGATCGATCGGTTTTGATTAAACGCCTATCTGCGTCGATAAGGAGCGACTTGCCAGTGTGAGTCGGGAGGAAAGATAAGTCGGTATTTCTACTTCCACGGCAATCTAGAAGCGTCCTTCGCGTCACGACCACATGTTAATGTCTTCTCCGGCTATCCTCGATCGCCTTTAATCTTATCTGCGAGCGTGGCACAGTTTCGCGTAAACGTGGGCCCGGCGGACAAAGAAAATTACGCGCCGCCAGGTATCCGCATGCAGGACAACGCAAGGTGGGTAGTGGATACGGCCGGACTTATATGCAGCGGTGCATGCCGCACGTGAGGTACACGAGGTAGGAGAGCCGACTTGTCGAGTATTAGTCACCGTTCGGACTGCGCGACGCACAAGTGCGGAATTTCGATTTCCCCGAGCGGTGCCGACGTGGCCGATTCCGCGCGTGTAACGCGCGCGGCGAATCCTTCCGTCGCGGGTGATCGCCAAACGGCAAACACGATCCTGCCGGCCGATCCGCCTCTC